CTATCTAGAGGACAGGAAAGCCAAGGGCATTCAATCAGAATGGCAAGAGACAAGATGCCGAGACTATAAAAATAATTTAAGGAGCATATGGGATGCTACTAAGGGTCCAAATATCCATCTGAAGAAAATCAAGATGTTGAACAGCTGTTTGAGAAATAATGATGAAAAACTTCCCTAACCTAAGACACATCATAATTAAAATGCCAAAGGTTAAATACAAAGAAAGAATATTAAAAGCAGCAAGAGAAAAACAAATAATTACATATAAGGGAAAACCCATAAGACTGGCAGCTGATTTCTCCAAAGAAACTATGCAGGACAGAAGGGCTTGGCAAAAAAAAAATATTCGACAGGATGAAGACCCAAGAATATACAACCAAGAATAATTTATCCAGTAAACCTATCAGTTGAAGGACAGATAAAGAGCTTCCCATACACAAATAAGCTAAAGGAATTTATCACCAACAAGCCAGTATTACAAGAAACGTTTGGAGGGACTTCTTTAAGAAGAAAAACCTTATATCAAAAACAAGAATAAAGAATGATAACAACTACATTCCAATCAATAAGTACCTTAAATGGAAAATAATTAAGTGTTCCAACCAAAAGATAGAGTGGCTGAAAGGATAAGAAAACAAGACCCCTACATATGAAAAGGAGGGGGATGAGAAAAGATATTGCTTTGATGGACTTCGAAGGTCTTTAAGTCAGACAGAGAAAGATAAGCACTATATGATTTCACTTATATGCGGAATCTAAGGAATAAAAAGAACAAACTAATCAAAAACAGACTCACAAATATAGTGGACAGTTTGGTGATGGATAGAGGCAAGGAGAGTTTGGGGGGCTGGGAGAATGGAATGAAGGGTTAAAGAAGTACAAATTAGTATCTGATGGATGGTCACGGGGATGGGGAGCATGGCATAGGGAATGCAAATACCATTAATACATTGGCTAGGTAGAGGGTTAGGGGAGGGTTAAGGGAGCAACTGGGGGGATCATTTTACAAACTATATAGATGTCTAAACCAATGTACTGTATACTTGAAACTAAATAAAAATACTTCTAAAAAGTAAAAAAGTTAAAATTTAAAAAAAGATAAACAATAAAATGAGCAGTATGATTAATGTAAACTGATTCTCTGCCCCAGTATTTGAGAGACAATAGTTGGGATTGTGGAAAACTAGAGAGTGTGTCTCCAGCTAAAAGAGGGCTCTTCCATTTAGCTCCAGCTCATCATTGCCTCTTGGGAACTTGAACTCAGAGTGGCCAGATCTTCTGAGGTTTTTTTGTTTTATTTTTTCAAGAGAAGCGGTTGTGTTGATGTAGGTCGGCAAACCACAACCTGCAGGCCAGTTCATCCCAGTATCTGTTTTGATAAAGTTTTACTGGAATATAGCCACTCCCATTTGTTCACAGATTGTCTGTGACAGTTTTCAGGCTACAACAGCAGAGGCGAATAGTTGCGACAGAGACAGAGACTGTGGCTTTCAGAGTCTAACACATATACCACTTGGCCTTTACACAGTTTCCCAACCTCTAAGCCAAAATAGGCAAAATTCTGCCTCCAGGCCTCCAGCTTGTCATCCTGACCCTTCAGAGGCTCATTCTCATGCCATTGCTCACCCCTTCCTCTTTTTGGCCCTTAACAGCAGTTGTTGGCGATTACTTAGACCACAGGTTCTCACACTTAAACCTGCATGCAGAATTCCTTAGTGGCCTTATGAAAACTTGGATGATCAGGCTCCACCTCCAGACTCAGTAGTTCTGGGTAGGGCCGGTGAATCTGCATATTCAGCAAATTCCCTGGTGAAGCTGGTGCTGCTGGTCCAGTCACACTTTGGGAACCACAGACTCAGATACACTATGCTGTTGGGGAGGTTTCAAACACCTGGTCTATCAAGTGGGTGACTAAATTGGCCAAGAAAGACGAATGAATTCTGTAGAACCCCTAAGACAGACTCATTGAGGCATTGCATGGCCCCCACAGGCACCATAAAGAATTCTATGGCTCCTCAGTGTCCTACAAAGTTGCTGTGTTTCCTCAATTTGTGGAGCATCCTTTGAGATCCATCCAGGGGGACCAACTGCCTAGCCTGCCAAGGGGCTCTAGCTGTATGTAAATATTCAGCGTTTCCCATGCCTGTTAGTCCTGGAGCACTTTGTCCTCCCAACTGCTCTCCTTTTGACGTAACCAATCTTGTGGGGGCGTGACGTCCTTTTAACATAACTGGCCAACACCCAAGATATATCAAGATTAACCCAAATCTAGGATGGAATGGGAATAACAGATTCGGCAGGCTAAAAAAAAAAAAAAATTAAGAATAGCAATATATAGAAGAAAAAGGAAGTAGAATCAGAAATTAGAGCAATTCTTGCCATGGAAATACTATTTTGATTTCTCTGAGCCTCAGTTTCCTTATCTGTGATAAGGGACTATTGGTATAACCACGAAGGGTTGTAGTGAAAGTTAAATTAGATGTTATGTATGTAGTAAATACCACCTATAAATCTGACTTATAAATCTCTACCTATGCCACTGTGTTCCTATGAAAATAGTCATCTTAGAGATCCCAGAGGACTCCTTTTGGAGTGTCTGTGAGTAGCACCTGGTGGCTTTGATTTTATTCTGCCAAAGAGTCTCTCTAAGAATCATCCTTTTTGCTCTGAGCAGCTGACTCCAGCCACTGGCTGACTCTAACCTCTTTCATTCCTGGCATTTCTGGTTGCCAGTAATATGGCTTCCCTCACCCCAGCAAGCTGAACCTCCCCCCTTCCCATGTATCTTCTTTTTGGCTGGGCTCCTAATAGCCTTTCCTTCCACAGCCACCCCAGCTGTGAGAAGTTGAGCAGTGAAAACTCTGCCAGCTTCAGCCCCCAGCAGGGCTCTGTGTGTGCCATTTAAGGGAAGAGAAATGTGATTCCTGCCAGATGAGTCAGGGGCTGCTACCTCAGAGAAGGGGTGCTAAATAATTCACCACAGCAGCCTGCTCTGACATCCAGCTGGGCCTGTCCCCGGTGACCCTGAGGATGCATCAGCAGGGTTCCTGCTTGCTCTGGTGTCTCGGGAAGCAGGAAGAATAAATAAGGCAGCATTCCACCCTGCCTGTCAGGGACTCCACAGGCCCCAGAGTCAGGGAAGAACATAACCTGGGTGGACTGATCAGTGTATGCTGATAGTCAAATCAAAGGACTTTGGACGTTCTCACTGTACCAAGCATGGCTGATGGTATGTTTATACTCAGGCTCCATAAACATTTTTAAAGAACCTGCTGTGTACTTGTCAATTTTACCTGTATTATTTCATATAATCCAGAAGGTCCATGAGGCACAGACTGTTAGATGAGGCTCAGAGAAGAAAAGTGACGTGTCTCAATTCATACAACTAAAAATAAGGGGCAGAGTCAGGATTTGCCCTTGGACACATCCTACCTCACAGTGCATGTTACCCAGAGGTCCCTGGCCTCTGACGAACTTTTCTCTCTCCTCCCAACACTGGCTCTCTCAATGGTTCAGAATCCCACATGTTAGACTGAACACAACTGGCTTCTCTAAAGAAAAGCGTATTATGGTGCATAAATAAAACTCTCCCACTGAATTCTGCTGGAGTTTCATGTTCTGATACCTGTTTTTAGTAGTTTGGACCACGCTTTGGTCTGGTCTTCTGCCGAGCAAGATGGTGTTTGGGAGGCATGGCTCTTCAGACAGGATTCCCAGGGCCTGATTTAGTCTGGGGGCAGGGTGGCAGAGAGTGGGAACATGGGCCTGGAGGAGAAGAATGATGGACTAGAGCAGAAATACACAACGACGGGGCCTTTTCTCAGCCCAGCAGGTGAGGAAGACTTAGTTCTGTAGCTCTAAGGAGGTAATTTGGCATAACGCATCACATGAACAATCTACTTTTATAGCCACTCTCTCATTAGATACACAGATCACTGCACTGTGATGGATGGGCAGGTCTGTGATTACAGTGATTATTGTGCAGAGTGCTTTGTGAAGATTATTAGAACTCATAAACAAGAAAAGATAATAAAGTTATCACTATCGTTTACCTTTTTCAGAGGAGGCTTCTGAGGAAAAGAGAGGTTAAGTAACTTGCCCGATGGCACACAGACAAAAGCCAGAACCCAGAATCAAACACAGACTTCCTGATTCCAATTCCAGGGCTAGTTCCATTATAGCAGGACTTTCTTTCAAACCAAGATAAATTAGATGCCCTTGATAGCAAGCTATTTATAGATGTTAAAAAGTATTTAAGATTAAAAGGAACAGAGGCAGCATCCAGCATGGTGAGTTGAGGGATATATATGCCATAGCTACCCTTCTTTTTCTTTTTTCTGCATCAATCAGCTGCCCGGTGACATTCACAGGTGTGACAGTTTCCCAGGGCTGTGATCAGTTTCTGAGGAAATTGAAAAAAATGTTACATGGAAATATAGGACTACAGTTATTCATAATTGTCAAAACCAATTGATGAATGGATCATCAGCCATGGCAATTTATTGTCAGCTGTGGCATACACAGGATAGGCTGTGGGTCATGGGCACTCTATTCATTCAACCCATATTCATTAAGGCTTTGCTGTGTGCAGACACTGTTCTAGGATTTAAGGGGGTTTTTGTTGTTGTTTTTTGTTTTAAAACTGACAAAATTCTACCCCCTCCTCCCCAACATGGAGCTTATGTTTTAGGGTTCCACAGGAAAACAGACCATATAGCAACAAAAAACAAGTAAAATATATAGTGATTTAAGAGTGCTAGGTGCTGAGCATCGACATCCAAAATGGCAACGTGAGGCACAGCAGACCCTTTAACCAGGGAAACAATCATTTGACTGCTGAAACTTATTTAAAAAACAACCATTTAAGGTTTCTAAAAATTGTCCTAAGGGTATGCAGCAAATGGAGAAACATCTATTCAAGAAAATCCACTAAATCTTCATAAGAACAGTGAGTCTGTGGCATTTGCGCCATACCACTCATTTCTCCCTCTTCTCCCCAGCACAGATCAGCGTGACTGAAACTCTATCCTGAGAGTATGCAGCCAAGAAGATGGAGCACCTTCTCTACCTGGCACTCGGTGTAGGGCTATGGTTTCACCCTGGGAGGGGCCACCTCAAACACTGGCAACACCCTACCCTTGCAAGGGAGCCCTACTTTGGTCAGATCTGACTGTGAAGCAATTTATGCCCCAGGGTGTTGTTGAAACAGTAGAACAATCAGCTAGCAATTAGCGGAGGCTAATAGTTGGGTGTGATACCAATAAATACAGACCAGTTGGGTGCTCTGGGAGACTGTTCATTCCCTCTGAGGAGCAACATCAGAGGCCGTAGGCTGCAGGGGAAACAGACTTCACTCAACTTGTCCAGCAAGTCACTAAACAAATAAGCCAACAACAAGCTCCAGAAAAGAGAGGAGGGAGTCGGTAATCACAATTGCTGCACTATATCATCTAAAATGTTCAATTTTCAACTGAATACCATGAGTCATGCAAAGAAACAATAAAGTGTTACCCATATATAGGGAGAAAATAAGTAGGCAAAGGAAACTGCCTATGAGGGGACCTAAATATCAGATTTACCAAAGACTTCAAAGAACCTATTATAGCCAAAGAACTATAAGAAACCATCTAAAGAATTAAAGGAAAGCATGGTGACAGTGTGTCTCATCAAATAGAGAATATCAATAAAGAGAAATTATTTTTTAAAAGAATTAGTAAAAATGAAAATCTTAGAGTTAAAAAGTATAATAACTTAAATGAAATAAATTCACTAGAGGGGCTAACCAGTAGATTTAATCTGGAGGAAGAAAGAATCTGCAAACTTGAAAGTAGATCAATAAAGATTATACAATCTGAAGAATGGAGAGAAAAAGGAAAAAAAGAATTAGGGAAAATAAACAGAGCCTTTGAGAAATGTGGGATACCAGTAAGCATATGAACATATGCATAATAGGACCAGCTAAAGGAGAAAAGGCAGAAAAGGGAGCAGAAAAATATTTGAAGAAGTAATGGTCGAAACTTCCCAAATCTGATGGAAAATACTAGTCTACACATCCAATAAACTAATATGCTACCAGTAAGTAAATTCAAAGGGATCTATTCTGAGACACATCATAGTGAAAATGTTGAAAGACAAAAAGACAATGTCTTGAAAGCAGCCAGAGAAAACAGCTCATCACATGTAAGGGAACCTCAATAGGATTAACAGCTGATTTTTCAGTCTTGGCAAAGAGTTTAGTAGTACCTTAAAATATTAAACAGAATTTCCATATGACCCAGCAATTCCATTCCTAGAACTATACCCAAGAAAAAATGAAAACATGTATCCTCACAAAAACTTGTGCTCGGATGTTTATGATAACATTATTGATAAGAGTCAAAAAAGTAGAAACAACCCAAATGTCCATCAGTTGATGAATGGATGAATAAAATGCATGTCTGTACAATGGAATATTATTTGGCAATAAAAAAAGAATGAAGTTCTGGTACAAGCTGCAACATGAATGAACCTTGAAAATATTATACTAATTGAAAGAAGCTGGTTTTAAAAGATCACATATTTAATGATTTCATTTATGTGAAGTGTTCTGAATAGGTGAATTTATGGAGATAGAAAGTATATGTATTTGTCTAGGGCTAGAATAATAGGGAAAATGGGGAGTGATTACTGCTTGCTAAAGGTTTCTTTTGGGGTTGTTCAAAGTGTTCTAAAATGAGATTGTGATAATAGCTGCACAGCTCTGAGTATACCACAATATATTGAATCGTACACTTAAATGGGTGAACTGTATGATATTTAAAATATATCTCAATAAAAACTTTTAAGAATACTAAAGAGGAAAATAAAGTAGGGAAGAAGGGAGGGCAATCTCAAGGACAGGAAGGCTTGACGTGACATTTTTAAACTTGAAAAGGTGAGAGAGTAAGCTACACTATTTGCACAAGGAACATTTCAGATAAAGACCTGGAGACAGGCATGTGCCTCGTGTGTTTGGGGACCAGTGTTCAAGTGACAGCAAGGCGGAGAGTCCCAGATGAGGGTGTCATGGGGCGTAGATCTCAAGGGCCTTACTCTGAGATGAGCAGCTTTGGTGGGTTTTAAGCAGAAGCATGACATGCTGTAATCTTCGTTTTCAGAGAATCACTATGGTTGCAGAGTTGGGAATAGACCAAAGGAGGATGAGAGTACCCCAGGTGGGGGCAGAGCTGATGATGGTTTGCGTTGCCAACCAGGAGAGAGAGATGGCAGGTTGAGAATAATGGAGGTGGTGGGGAGGGGTTAGATTCTGCATACATTTCAAAGGTAGAGCCAACAGGACTAGTCCAAGGTTATAAAATGTTCAGTGTAAGGGATCAGATGGTAAATATGTTAGGCTTTGCAGGCCTTATAGGCTCTGTTACAACTACTCAGCTATGCTGATAAAGCATGAATGCAGCTGTAGACGATACATAAATGAATGGGCATGATTGTGTTCCAATAAAACTGTATTTGCAAAAATATGAAGCAGACTGGATTTGGCCAGTGGGATAGGGTTTGGCAACTCCCAGATTAGATGTTAGGGACAAGAGGAAGAAAAGAATAAAGGGTGACTTGAAGGGGTTTTTTCTTAACCGCTGGAAGATGAACTTGCCGTTAACTGATGTAATAAATACTGCAGCTGGAGCAGATTTGTGGGGGATACGAAGAACCGAGATCTAGAATTGTTAAATTTGAGAAGCCTTTTAGACATCCAAATGCAGATGTGGCATAGGCAGGTGAATATGGAAGCCCTGAGTTCATGGAAAATGTCTGGCCTGGAGTCATCAGTATAGAGGTGGTATTTAAAACCCTAGACGAAATCAAAGTGACTGTAAATAGAGAAGAGCAGAGGTCCCAGGACTAAGCTCCAGCATTTAGCTGTTAAGGAGATGAGGAAGAACCAGCAAAATAGACTGAGGAAGAACATCTACAGAGTAGGAGGGAAAAAAGCTAATGTGGCATTCTGGAAGCTAAGAAAGTATTTCAAAAAGATTAACTCTGTCCTTTCATTTCCCACTCACATAATCACGTTGGACTACAAATGAGCAGGAAGATGTTCTTACAGGAATATATCTGAATTCCCTCTAATTTCTAGATAAGAAAAATCACTGCCAAACTTTTTATTCATTCAACAAATATTCATTATTGTCATATTCATATTGTCAGGTTGCCAGGGACTGTGCTAGGTGCTTAGAATAGAATGATAAGCCAAAAACACAGTTCTTGCCCTCAGAAAGCACACAGTCTAGTTAGAGAGTGAGATATTAATTAGATAATCATGAATACTAACCATGGATGAATCTTAACCACTAACCAATGCTGTAGAACCATGAAACAGAACAGGAGTTCTAAAGGAAAGGACACACATCTAAGACAGCGGTACTGTGAGTTTTGTACAAAGGATTGATCTAATCTGGAGGACCAGGGAAATTTCTGTATTTTTCTGTTTTTAATAATGAATTATTTCCAGCATACCACACCCTGATTGAGACGCATTGAGTTTTTGAGAGGATGAGTGAAAACTTTTGAATTGGAGGAAGAAATATGGACTTTATAATGAGACCCAGGACCAAATCTCAGCTGTGGGTCCTTGTGTCATTCTTATATTTTCTGTGTCCTCAACTGTACAATAGGGGTAATAAAAGCTACGGTTTAGGATTATGGTGAGGACTAAATGAAGTAAAATGTACAAAACACCTGGGATATATGTTCTTCCCATTCCTGGAGCAAAACAATGTCAGTTTGTACATCTGTGACGTTTTGCCTTCCAGGATAATTTTCCCAAGACAGATATTTGCTGCCAGTTTGCTATTATATGAGGTGGGGAGCTTGTCAGTCTTTTTCCGAGGTATATTCCATTTGCCAGCATTCTCTCCCAAGAGAGAGAGAGAAAGCATGTAGGAGCTCCAGTGCCTGCATTTAGGAAGTGCTTGGAGACCGAAGCATCCCTATGCAGTTCTTGCTGATTCTCCTGGTCCTTTACATAGAGAAAATTCCATTTTTTTATTCAGCTGTTTAATGAAAATATAGAGTTCCCAAAAGCTACTGGTAATAAGTACAGCTTTCATTATCTCAAACAAAAGTAATGTTTGCTACCACATCATGTCAATTTTAAAAATATTTTCATGGAAATGTGTAATGGTTTAAATCGTTGATGCAGTTTTTAATCTTTTTTTTTTAGAGAAGGGAACAAAATCTTCAGCCTTTCATTTTGATTTGCCCTCAGTAGCTTGTCCGTATTTTTCTCCTTTTAATTAATGTAATTAAAAGAGGATAAAAGGCTGACTTAAAATTTTGTGCACTAGATTATGTATTGGGATCAAGAATAATTAAAATCCATGAAATGTGGCTGATTCCTAAGATAGTGGAAAAAAAGAAAAGGAAGGCCTCTTTTCTGGATTTAAAGTGTGCCAGATTATTTTTTACAAAATGTAAAAATGTGCCCATGGTCTGAAAAGCATTTATGATAATGGAATCTTACACAAATGGGTGAGAAAGAAGGGGCTCTGGGGGGAGGAGTCATCCTTACGCTTATCATGAACAATTTTATCATCGTACCTCTCATTCTTGCTCCCTCTTTGAAAACGAAGTGGGGAGTAATAATAACACCTACTGTATTCTAGGTACTCTGCAACGTACTTTATAATAAATTTAACTCCTCTAGTCTTATCCAAACCTTTGGTAGAGAGATGTCTTCATTTTAAAGATGGAGAGACTGAGTCTTAGAAAAGATGAGTGGCTGTTATTACCATGTTACTGCCATGCAGGTAGGCGGTAATATTATTACCATGCGGGTAGGTGGTAATAGAGCCAGATTTGAAATCAGGTCTTTTTGTTGGGCTCTTTGAATAACAATGTCCTGCCTGTTGTGGGGGGCAGATTATTATAAATCTGAATTGGAAAAGTGGTTAGAAACTATTGAGGAGGATCTCTTTTGAGCATTTCTTTTTTAAGAAGACAGCTCTGCCTTTGTGGGTGCTTATTTATCTTTATGTGCACTATAGAAGTTTCACGAGTTTCATTTTTCTATGTGGTTATGTGGATTGGACATTGTTGCTTGTTAATAAAAAAGTTGATAAAAATCTAGAATGTTTTCTTCATTTTCTCCCTTTCAGGGCAAAACAGATACAATTTTGATCTCCAGTATTCATTTAGAACTATCATTATTACTTTGATGTTAAACATCCCTTTGTTTTAAGACATTATGAGTTTACTAGATTGTGCTAATTTAAAAAAATGAATTTACACGACAAAATTAAAAATTGACAGCTGTGGTAGACATTGTCAGGATTCTCCATTGTTCGTTTTGCTCTTCTTCTTGAGCATACACTTCTCAGCTCCCTTGCAGTTGGTTGAGGTCATAGTACAACTTGTTTGTATAATAGATGTGATCCCTTTCACCTCCAAGTTGAGACACCTAAAACCTTTCCAATTCTCTCTTCTGTTGCTGTAACCTAGAAATTACATGTTAAGATCACAGACACAAAAGAAAGAAGCAGACTAGATCCCTGAGCCACTGCTTGGAATGGAGGGGCCTGGAGAGCTTCTGGACCTCCAGCCAACATTGCATAAGTGAGAAATCAATTTTTCCTATGTTAAACTGCTGAGATTTGCAATTGTTTGTTACTGTACAATAGCCTAGCCTATCCCAACAAATATAAAATCCCCCCATTTAAAAAAACTTACAGGATTTTGAAATCTAAATGTCAAAGAACCACTCTTGAATATTTTACTTAAAACCGTATCAATCTCTCCCTCTCTCTCTCATACATAAAGTTTAAAAGAATATAGTTCTTTAAAATTATGTATTATATAGTTATAGTATACTCACACATAAAATAACACACATACTTTTTTTAATAAACTTAAATGAACTCATAACCTTTGTTAGATGTGTGGTTTGAAACTTTGGTAACATCCCTCATAGTAATTAGTATTTCACACTAGCAGGGCCAAGAGGTACTGAGGTAAACCAGGTAGAATTGGTGCTATCTTTATCTTTTTACAGTGCTCCTAAGACCAAGATGCTACCATTGTTCTGAGTGACCCATGCCAGTTCTCTCATTTCAGTGTTTAAAAGTCTTCCTTAGGTCCAAGGAAATCCTTCTTTAGTTCATTTAAAATACATTCCTTTTTATTTTACACCTATGCAAATGGAGTTGAAAATTTGTTCTTTATGACTGTCTTCAATAAGGCTCTTCCTTTAGGAAGCCACAGTCCTCTTTGTCACTCTTCTGTAAACTAACCAGCGGTGATTCACTCATCTCTTCCCCATAATCCTTTAACAAGAATGTGGCTAATGCTGGCTAGAATGGAAAGATGATTTTATTTTCCTGCATATATGATAGAATTCTTTGTCATTACCTGCCAGTGTCATGTTGGTGCTGTCCTGCTGTCTGGGGCCCATGCAGATGAGTCTTTCCATTCTGCATTTGGGTGAATACTTTTCTCATATTTGTGCTCGTTCATCTGCCTGCAACACCCTCTCTAGCCACTAAAGTTTGACCTTGGCTATTTTAGCAGTCTTTTCACTTATGGTTTCTGGATATTTTTGAATGTTTTTTCATTACCAAAAAAGAAATTTATTTTTGGCCTTCAACCTGACTCAGATCACACTTTTCCTGATTTCTGATCACCTCAACCTTGCATCCTCGTCGCCCAACAAGAATGTCCTACATTTCAGATTTCCAGTAAATACCTGACTGTCTTATATGTATTTCCTGTTCTCCCCCATTCCGTGCCCAAGAAGTTTGCTGTCACAAATGTGGAATCTCTCCTGTTTTGCAAAAACAGTGTGTGTTTTGTCCCTACTTACCAAATCTCTGAAACG